TGAAATTTTTGAACTGGAATAAAGACAGAGTTTTGAGATCCAAAATGGGGCTGATGGTCATGGGAATGGTGAACAAGTTGGAGTAAAACTCCTGAAACTTACACGGGAAGGTTGAATAGCCTGAACATGGACATTTTCTCCCGTCTGCTACGCAAATTCCAAACGGTATCCATTTTGTTACCTCCCTCCTTTGTTAAATCCCTCCGCTCTGCCTCCATTTGCTTTGTCTGGAGTCGGGATTCTCCACTAATTAGCTATAGAACACTCTCCAGACCTAAATCTTCAGGCGGTCTGGGTCTCCCTGATTTTACACTATATCATAGGGCTGCAGTGCTTGGTAGACTGGTTTAGGTCTGGGAAATCCAAGCCTGGTGTTCAGTTGGAACTGGATTGCTCTGCTGTCCCTTCCCTGTTAGAGCCATCGCATTGGCCTTAAGCGAACATTCTCCTCGTCCTCACAGGTGTTGTTCTCCATGAGTGGGATAGTTGATTGAAATTGACTACCCAATCTACTAGGCCAGGACCGCTCACTCATATATATCTTAATCCTCTGTTTGCTCCCAGCATGTCACTATCCTCTTTTAGGGGCAATGATAGAATCTCAGTCCTCCAACTTAGTCATTTTTTGCTCCCAGGCTTGAATGTGTTGCAGTTGCCTTACTGGCCCCAGTTCTGTGTCATTGAGTAGGTGGTTTACAGCCTAACAATTATCTCAGTTGATTATATCTCTTTTGGAGGATCGTATTCTGAACTGCAAATTAACAGCATTTGAACAAATGTGTACTTCCTTGGGTTCTCTACCAAAGGTGATTTCGGAGTTACACAGGCTCCCTGAAGTCAATGGTCTACAGGGGTAAACCACCTTTTCCTTCAGCCTGGGAGATCTGGGTAGATAATTTTCAGATGAAGCCTGGGACAAAGCTTATCGTTTAATTCCCACTTCCTCACCATCTAACCATCACCAGGAAAAGAGCTATAAACTACTACCGAGGTGGTGTAGATGCCCTTCTATATTGAGAGACACGTATCTGTCGACCTCTGACATGTTAGAGATGCAGAGAACAAAGAGGTACTTATCTACATATCTGGTGGGAGTGTACTAAAATTCAACCCTTTTGGCAGTTGATTTTTTGGTTATATACCATGCAAGCCACAGATCTGGTAGCATCTCCTGAAGAAGCTCTTTTGTCGCTGTTTACTGGCTCCTTTTGCAGCATATAAAAAAAATATATTATGCCACTGTTTAATGGCTGCTAGTTCAGCAATTTCTAGATGTTGGAAGTCAACAGATACTTCAACAGGGTTATTCACAAAAGGGTGAAGAGTTTGTAGAAGGCAGGAGAAGTGAACAATCTAGGACAACATAGCTGAACTGGAAAGTGAGCTGAATTGGAGAATGTTTCCAAATCAGCTACGTTGTCCTAGATTGTTCACTTCTCCTGTCTTCTGCAAACTCTTCACCCTTCTGTGAATAACCTTGCTAGTCTTGCTTCATGAATGAATGATAGCAATATATGTACAGTTTGATAGCAGCAGGTGGTAAACTAAGTGGCTCCATGTCCCTCTCCAGAGTTTGAACCAGTTGGTCCTTATTTAGTAGCTCTGATGCCTTCCTTACAATGTTGTCCTATTGAGATGTGCCTTTTCCTGTCAACCCTTTTTTACTTATGGTGCGGTGTTGTAAGAAGCGTACATAATTTGTGGGCTTTCTTTCTCCCCGATGCCTTTTCTTTTTTTGCCTTCCCCGTTTCAGAAAATTATTTTCTTTCTCTCACTGTTTCCTCTGTCTCCCCTCACTTACTATCATCTGACATTTACACACCAGTTGTCGTTTCTATAACCATTGTTAAGTCTTCATATTCTTTGCACTTTTTGCATCTTTACGTCATCTTTGTTTTTTTTCCACCCATGTCATATCCCCTCAGTTTGTCTTGGTCTTTTACAGACCAGATGTTTGCTGTTGTGCATGTTTCTGCTTGGATGTTGTCTTTTCTTTATTTGGCCAGTTATTGAATGTTTAATAAAAAAATATTTACAAGAAAAAACCTCCTGAAACTCTGCTGCCACAGCAACTGGGGCAATAACGCCTTGATCCAGAGGACCCGAGAGATACCCACGAGTTTTATTAAGAAGCAAAGTGAAGATACATTGGAAGTGGCAATACTACAGTACAGAGTAACCACAGGGAAAGGAGATCAGGAGTTTTCCCTGTGTGCATGAGAGTGGGCGGCATTCCCTTGCCCGAGTTTCAAAAGGGGGACAAGCGTGGATAGAGCGGCTTTGGATCCAGGAGTCAGGTGAGCAGTATTCCTAAAGATATGGTGGTGGAGATATCCGTTATTGGTCACATCGGTGACATTTTCACAACATTATATTGAAGATTATTGATTGACCGCTTGAGGAAAAAACTATTGCTTAAGAAGAAAAAATAACTGAACTGTATATCATAGTTATTGTTTCATTACATCAGTCTGCACAGAACTGCAGATATATCATTGGTGGAGGCATCCAAGAATTGGTTGCATGGGTGTTTTTGGAACTTTATGCATATAGACTTTGATTTTATTATATACGATTTACTTCACTGTTATTTATTGCACAGTCACCATTACTTATCTCATCGGAGCACCTTGCATTATAGCTATGGGTTAAGATTGGATTTTATATTCCTGGATATAGGGTAGATAATTGTTACAGTATCTATTTATTGCACAGTCACTTTAACATATAATACAAGGATTGTGAACACACACAGATCCTGCACTTAGTAGGGATTAGAGGACGGCACGTTTTGTATACGATTTAATACAAATATGTACTGACATGAGACACGAGAGCAATGAAACAAGAAACTTTCATTAAAGAACTGCAGTTTAACACTACAGCTTTCTGCTCCACACTTTCAATAAGCAAGGGATCAACTGCAGCAGTGGTTAGGCAATGCCACAGGTTCTCATGAAACCCGGAAAGCAGGTAGCAGGTGGGGGTCGAATGGCCAAAAGGTGATCAAAGTCACTGAAGGCAGACAGCAGGAACAGATCGGAGATCAAAGTTCCACGGAGCTCTTGGCAAACAGTAGCAGCATTGAAGAGATGCTTCCTTAAAGTTGTATGGTGGGAAAGAGCACTGAGTGTGCACATATGTGACACTCTATCCCAGGGGTAGCCAAACTCTGGCCCTCCAGCTGTGGTGAAACTACAAATCCCATGAGGCATCTCTCTCTGGGAGTCATGTCTGTGGTTGTGAGAATCTTGCAATGCCTCATGGGATTTGTAGTTCCACCACAGCTGGAGGTCCAGAGTTTGGCTACTCCTGCTCTATCCAATGGATAACATCAGCGCTCAGTCCCACAGGGTAATCCTCCTTCCATTCAAAAACCAGTGAGAACAGGGAATAAAGGTGCCCAATGACCTATGTATTTGAAGTATCTACCAATGTTCATCCTGACTGGCCCACTCACTGAGGCATCAGAGGAAGGGCATGTGCGGATGTGAAAATTCCTAGCAAAAGATAGGTTGGTCTATTACAACAGAGCTAAACAAGAGACATCAATCCTCCTAGGATACAAGCTTTGTTTTGTTTTTTTGGAAGAGTAAAGGTGTGCTTACATTTTTTTTAGGTTCTTTTCTGTAACACCAATGGGCACATTTTCCTTCTCTTCTTGTTAATGGATTACCAGGGTAATAAAATACTCTCCGGAGAGCTGAGGGAAATGTAAATAACCGAGAAAGCTGGTACAGAATAACAGTTAGGAGTCATTTGTGCAATGGGAAGGTTTGTGTTTACACCAAGTTATCAAATGCAGAAAACAACTACAGATAAGCGGAAAAAACAAACTCTCAAAGTCATGTTTTGCCTAAAATAAGTTTTTTTAATTCTCATTGTTAAAACTCAGATCAAGACAAGCTGATATACAGATGCTGATCCAGTCCAAGTACACATATATACACATACATACACACATTCAGAAAAAAAAAAAACAACACATTCCAGTCGTGGGGGTCTCCATTGCTATGTCAGAGACGTATGGTACATATATATATACATATAGTATCTCCCAGAAAATATTTTACTAAAATCACATTAACAGTTTACAGTAAGGCATAGTGTTTTATTTGCATTAACGTCTGCATAAGAGTCTTCAGAATTGTTATGCTTCATATCTAATACTCTTACTACCAGATCCCTAGCAGTATGCTTCAGGCAGGATGTAAAAATGTGCAAATAGTAAGATAAAAGTGGTTACATTTTTTGTTAAAAAGGGATTTTCTGCTTCAAAACAAATGGACTGTTGATTCAGACTGTTACTACATACTAGAACTCTGTTCTCTGCAGACCCTAAAAACTCTGTTACCAGTCTTGTTCACAGAGACTTTATGGACATCAGGTATACTACTGCTTATACACGTCATTAAATCGGCACTGAGAATGACCATGTTATCCCTGGCAGAGGGAGGCTCACTTCTTCATTGAGCTACAGAAAGAGTGGCCTATACCAATGTTGATATTAAAGATGTAATCCTCTTTAATACAACACAAACGTTACAGATTATGGAAAATACTGGCTCTATAGGTCATGAGCAAGTTCAGAACAATAGTGTAGTGAGGGCCTCGTCGCAATATTCAATGGGTCAATCAACCCTTATGTGTCATTTTGATCATAGGCCGAGTCTAGTAGGTTTATCCACCTGCTAGCTTTTTGGACCTCTTAAGAACCTCAGGGGGAAGGTCTCCCCCCGCTATAGTTCTTAGCTCTGTTTCTACCCACCATGAACTCTTGGATGTATCTGGTCCTGCTTTTAAGCATCCCCACGCATTTTGCTACATTCTACATAACAAAGAATACATTAAAACCCCAACAGGGATAGTGGGTCCCCCTTCTAAAGTTCCTGATCTGGGAATTCAAGCACACACACCTTGCAATTAGGGTTACATGAGTCATAAAATAAACTCTCCATGTACAAAAACAGACATAAGGGTTGGGTCAAGTAATTCTTGGGTGAATTAGTTGAGGCAAGTATATGCCATGATAGATGCCATGATCAGCAGCCATATTTTGAACAATGGTCACTCAACGAGAATAAAAACAATTGAAAATCAAAAACAAACGACATACTGCCAATCCCTGAGAGATACCTTGAAACTATGGAAGACCTGCATAAATACAGGTGGCAATGGTTAGAAAGAGTATAGTATGGGCCCACCTAATTCAAAAATACAGCACGAGAAACAATATAAAAAGATAGGGCCAGCCCTAGATTCTCAAACAGCTGCATTAAGGCACTGTAAGCTAGGACACCAAAAGGCGGCCTTCGATGAAATTAATGCTGACAAAAGGTTAGCAGTTTAGCACCAATTGAGGTGTACAGTGTTCTAACTACATCCCTAAAGCCTACCCTATGGAGGAATTAAAAAGGTTATTATGCAAAATGGGAAAGACATGGAAACCCTCTCAGAGATCTTCAAAATCACTTCAGGTGCGGGAATGAGGTACATCAGTGGAAGGGCAGGCATGTGATTGGCACAATTTGTGGATATGCAGTAAGTGCTTCTGGCCCCTAAAAGTTCTCTTGTCTTAAGGCACAGTGATTAAGGCCGATGGAACCTGGAGAAAAAACAATGGTTTCATTAGGAATTAACTATTGTATAACGTTGTACTTCCTAGATATTAACTTACAAACAAAGGACTCACCGTGTGTAGTGTTTGCTCTCTGCATGAACAGCCATTTCCGTGCTCTTGAAGTCGTTCAATTCTTTACGGATCGCTGCCTACAAGACACAGGAATAAGTTAGAAAAAGCCTAAATCATTACTTTCCCCCAGGAACCCAGGTAATGAACATTTCTTGCAGGGTACCAGGGGCTGACAATACTACCGTAGTAACTCCAAGCCAAGAACTTGTGAAATAGTTTATCTCATATTGACAGATCGTCGCTGTGTTTAGCAAATGAAAGCAGGATTTCTGATGTCACTTCTTTTGTTATATGAAAAATAGACTTTTGCTAACAATTTTAGATGCACATCATTGACACCCTTATTTTTTTGGTTTTGCTTCAGAGATGTGCCTGTTATCGATCTACTGCTGCAGAGTGAAGTAGCAGGGTGGTCTGGTTTCTTCCAGTAATAAAAAGAAATATGTAGACTAAGTTACTTTAAGGCAAATTGTCCTTAAAGTGTATGCATGACTGAGCTTTGCTGGGGACAGGGACACATGAAATTGGTTCTATATACTCCGAAAAGAATTTGCCTGCAATGTAAAAAAATGATCAAAACAATACTATTTATAACATACTAGGGTTATGAGTAAACTGTATGAAGAATGTACCATATGTAATGCATGCAACATCTTATTTTTAAATGAATTTTAAGGAAGCATGGTCATTGTTGCATATGAACAAATCTGATTCTATTCTGACTACCTTTCTATTCACTCAAGCGGCACTGGGAGGATCAAAGGGCATATGATCGGTTGTGCTTTTGTGTCTACTAAGGGAGCAGCAATGTAGCGGGAAACCATCATAAGACAAGCTTGGAGTTCTTTCGATTAAAAAAGCAAAACAAATGGCAAACGCACTCATCAACTAATAACCTGCTTTCAAGCAGGGTGCACATGGAAGGGCTTTATACAGTACAGCAGCAAAAAGTTTACCAGCACACTCACCAGCCAGCATGCAGGAGCACCTTGCTTGAAAGCTGGTGATAAGTTGATGAGTGCGTTTGCCATTTGTTTTGCTTGACTGATTTGGTGCAGTGACACACTGGGGGTCCCAGCTGCCGTTGTGATGTGCGTCCCTGTACCTTTAAGGGGGTTGGGCTGCCTCCTGGCAAACATGCACCCAATGTTATCTTTTGCTTCATGTGCTCCAAGATGGAGACTCTCATAGGTTAGAGTAAGGGCCGCACTACACAGAGGGTCCTTGACGAGGCAGTACGGCTTCCACATATTCTGCAGAAGACGTGCATCTAAAACCTGTGTTTTTAACCTTAGCAGTGAGACAAGTTTTTTTTTTAATGCTGGCTGGTGAGCGTGCTGGGAAACCTTTTGCTGTTGTACTTTGGATTAAAAAGACCCAATGGTCTCCTTAAATGCATAGGTCTATTCTCATCATTATTACAGGAAACTCCTGCACAGTGCCCGAGTTATTTCATGCTGGATTACTGCACAAAGATCACCAAGGTTCAAGTAAAACTACAAATACCTTTTGTATTTGGACAATATTTGGTTAGTCTGGACTTTCAAGTGTTTGTATTTTCAGTATGTCTGCCATCATACCTAACTGTATACAGTTCTTTTAAACAAATCATTTGCTGTAATTCAGTTGTTTATTTTTTTTTACCTGGAGATCCTGCCAGTAATAGCAGTTCTTATAACAGTGACAACAGTACGGGGAAACCAATCAAATAGAAGCAGCATTGTCATCACTGTTTTAGTGAACTCTTGGGCTGCCAGTGGCTAGCCTAAGGTTGTCAGTCTGCAACTGAAACTGCTGTTACTGGCAGGATACCCAAACAAGAAACATTAAAGCTGCAAAAAAAATTCTGTCTAAGAGAACTGTATACAATGAGGCATGATGTCAAACATATGGAGAACAGATTTAGGGTTTACATACACTTTGATACGTTTTCAGAGGACCACTCATATTTCTAACTATTACGAACGGTTGCTCTGTAAACGGTATCCAACAGTTAAAATTGTGAACTGTGCAGCAGACCTATCTGCCTTATTCACTAAATTAGTTGTGAGAAATAATAATATAAAACATAGTACAAATTGTGTTTGATTTCAGAGCAGAGGACAAAAAAGTGTCTAGGACACTAGCAAAAAACTGATAGTTGGAGGTGGGGTTATGCAGGGGCTGGCTTAAGGTTTTTTGTTTACCACTGTCAGTATAACTCATATGTCCAAGAACGACTACATTCCCATGTCCCTCAATGGATGAAAAAGAAATGACTTTTGTGTTCAACACACGTTAGCAATACTGACTTGGTAGTGGCTCCTTACCTTATCAGAAGGGGTGAGCTTGGTCCAGGGTTTATCAGCTCTTCTGTCATAATCGTGAGCATCGGTCACCTCTACATATTCATGAAACCTTAGGATCTTTCTTTCCAGCAGCTCAGCCACTGTAGGTCTTTGACTGAGCTAAAGACAAAAATAAGGGAAACATGAAACACTGACACTTCCAATGCAATGGGGCTAGGTTTTGAAAACTGAAGTAAAAGCCGAGCTGCTGACCATAGCAAATGGTTTGATTCACTTAAGAGGTATAAATCGGATTGGGTGCAAACTGATCCCTAATATGAATGTCCTCATGTTCTATTGCCTTATGGGTAATAGGCACCTTCTACAACTTTACATCCTAACATTCACAAGAAAAATGTCTGAGAAATCTTTGGGAAAAATGACAACTGATTTTGAACAAAGCTAAAGACGACAGTGAGTTGGACTGAGCTTATATCTAGATTTTCTGCATTAACTTTTAGAACGGAGGACTAGCATAGTTTACATTCTTCACATCTCCACTACAGGTGTGTGACCTTCAATGTTTTAAACTCTCAAAAGATCTAAGCTGTTACCGCTATACCAAATATACCACAAGTGCACTTTAAAACTAAGTGCATTTATCCCTTTTGTCCTCATCTCCAGATGTATACTTATCTTGTATATCATATGATTTTAGATTGCCACTTTAAGTATTTTGCGCGACACAGAAAAGTCTCATGTGAATAGGCATTTAAAGTGAACCTTCTTCCCCTCACCCTTAACCAGACTACACTAATGAAATCTTGGTAGGAAAATCAATACTTGAACCCCCACAACCGCCCACATGCCCCTCCGGGTCAAAAACCAGTGCCACTGTTTATAAAAAACATGCCATGGCCAGCTGCTTCTTCCTTAGTCTGTTCTTGCCCACCAATGGTCATCTTGGGGGGGCGGGCCTTTTCACCAAGATCTCATGAGGTATTTAGGTTTTGCAGTTTACAAATGGGGGTGGGGGGGCCTTTTCACCAAGATCTCATGAGGTATTTAGGTTTTGCAGTTTACAAATGAGATCTCCCAGGAAAGCACTGGTGATGTGGCCTCTCCAAGAAGCAGCTGTAAAGCCAGGGCTACATCACCTGTGCCTCAAAATACCAGGAAAGCTAAATTAAAGAGAATGCAAGTGAAAAATACCTTTCAATATCTATCAATTTTACATGTGACTTTAAGGTGATGAGAGATCAGCTTGCACCAGGGCTTTTAAGTTTGGGGTGGGGAACAATGGTCTGCTTTAAGCATACTGCCTTTCTGATCTGCCATACCCAGAGTAACATAGCAGACAAGTATTTTGCAGCCCTAGAAAACACAGTGCAAACAATTCTAAATGTTGATGTAAACTAAAAACTTGAAATAAAAATTTACCTTACTAAAAACAGCACAAAAAAAAAGCCCAAGAGTATCCCAAATGCTGATCCAGTAGGGTGCCACCACATTAATTTTACAACAGTCAGTTGTATATATTTCCACATCTCAAGAAGGCACAAGAATGAATGTTGAATAAGCAGACTATAGATTTTAAGTATAGGATGGGTACCTTGCGTGTCAATCGCCTCTTTATTTCACGTCTCTCTGCTATTCGGTCGGCTTCATTTTTTTCTGTAAAAATAAATAGTGTCTATTGTTATACCATACAGTTTGTGAACACTTCTCAAAACAGAAATCATCAATCTGAAAGTGATTTAATCCACACATCCCGCAGTGAAAACCATCGGTTCACTCAAACTGATACCTACAGTATATTACCAATATACTACTCTCAGGATATGACAACAGCAAGATTATTTTTAGTTTAGCAGCAAGTTGATTTAGTAGCTATCCGTTTAATTCAGCGAGACGCTTTCTCCCAACTGCCAGCAAATGTAACCCCTAGCTGACAATGTGACTTGTCACTTGATTAGATGCTGCCATGAGGCATCAGCAGCAAAGCCACAGAAGTTCACTTTCCATGCACTTTGTGCTCTTGAGCCTGGAATCTTTCTAAAAATTCTGGCGCCATAGTTTCTCCATAACCTGAATTTCAATTTTAGATAACCTTTTGTGAAAGTGCGCCTGACATGGCCTACAAAGTGCCTAAGGTAACAACAGTGCCAAAATGTAGACAATCAGTGGTGCCTGCAAGTACCTGTGTTAGTCCAAATTAATACCTATTAAGCCCTCTAGATCCCAAGTTGAAGTTGTATACAGGACCCAGATAGTCTAAAATGTTAAGGTTAAGCATGCCCCTTCCCGGCACAAAGTTCCGTCATAGTCATTAAACTGTCAGGACCTCTACTGTCCACTGAGGCCCTGATATTTGACAGCCGAAGAGCAGAGGGCAGGAAGGTGCAAAGCCTAAACACAACTTAGAGAAACGTCAATGCTCTGTGTACAGTCCAAGGGACAAAAGCACTGGTTTGAGGACCACAAGGTACCCAAGATATAGCAATACTGTTAAATTAGTACCTGGTCACATTAACCAGAATTACATGAATCTCAGAAACCAGTGCTTTTGACACCTGGCTTTTTGAAATCTTCTTAACTATTGTTATTTACAATATACCTTCTGCTAGTTCCTAAAACCATAGATTGCCGTTATGCTGCTAGATTAGACAGACTGGCTACTACAATGAACAAAAGCCACCTTAAACCACCCTAAAACTAAAATGATAAATATTCAATCCAATTTCTTGTTCTATATGCTTTTAGAACTTATAATTCTGCCTTTATGTATTTTCTATTATCATAGCGGTTTGTATGATCTCCTCTCCAAGACTTTGTTATCCTTTTAATAACATAAGTATGCACTAATTTATACTCCCACTGCAACTCACGTAAAATGTTCCGCTGCTCCAGTTCTTCCGCAGAGGGTCTCTGACTCAGTCTTCGGTTCAGCTGTGAGCCAATCTGATGCCGGATTTCATTCCACTCTTCCCGACTCCGATGAGGTAACTCGGTACTTGTGTCCTCTGAACTGCTCCTTCCACCAAGCTTCATTGCCAGAGTATCCTTTCTTTTCACCTTATTGGCCAGGGAGCCTGGAAGGAAATTTAGGGTTAAACCATAGAACATTAAAAAGGGAATCGGTCATGAGGACACTATGATAAGCCTTCATTTGAAAGCAGTCTTTCCATACCTCAAACTACATACTGCACGTTGGGTACGAGTTCCAAATCGCATTAAAACTTAAAACTGAAGGCCCCATTTCACAGCTTTAATTGTATAACTAAAGCCAACTAAATCAAGAGAATTTCATGATGGCCGCTTGCCGATTAGAGAAAAGGAGAGCACAGAGATGATCTGATCAGTGAGCTCCTGCTCCTTCACTGTCCAATCAGTTTTGACAACACTGTTTTGCAGTGGAGAGAATGGTCAGGAGGGGTCTAGAGAACTAAACTTGCACATAAATGCATAAACCAATGTGCCTCAGTTCACTTCTAGAGTGCCTTTGCCCCTATGCAAATACCTAAATCACCTATGAAGTTGGTGCTTTAGCTTCCCCTTCCACCTAGAGAATCTCACTACTGGTCAGTAAGGGCATCCATATTGTAAACATACCAACAGCCTCAGGAAGTAGCAGTATTGGATCAAATGAGTATTTGTACAATAAAATGCCATGTTGTTTCGAAGACCCACAGGGGTGCCATAGAAGAGAACTAGTTTTATACAGGCGCCTCTGTAAACCTGCATTAACAAGTATGTTTAAATCATTTAAATAAAAAATAGGTATATGCTATCCTCCTTTCACTAAAAAAACAGAAAGCCCTTTAAGCCTTAGCAGTGCCCAGGAGCAAGGAATCTCCAGAAACACCCCTTTACCTGTCCTATCTGACTGCGATGACCTGGATAATTAGCCACATCACTGTAGAAAGAAGGGTTCTCATGCCTACTGTATTCTTGCAGAGAATCCAGTAGCAACAGAGAAACAACTGCATAATGGCTTTGTCAGGTGGGTAGACACGAGCATTTAAATACCGAGATCTCTGTGCCAAACTTCATGGGAACATTATGAAGTCAATGGGTTATTCCACAACCCTAACATTCAATCAAAATACGAATAGCTTTAGTGGCGATAACATACAAGATATGTTCCAACAGATTGAAAGAGGGCTTTCTCTCAGCTTCACAGCTTTGTGACTTGGAGCTTACAGAGGGCTGAAGACTATTCCTGCCCCTATGTGATAGTGGCCAATCATTAAGCACACATGCTGCTACCAGAGCTTTGCAAGTTCCCAATACCTGAAAGCAATGAACATAGTTTTACAGTCTTGGTAGGTGAATATAACAACGGAGCGTAAAGAAAAGGTAAATATAGGAGGCTGATAAAGCTGCCAATAATGTGAACTTGTTGCTTTGCATGAGCACAGAACTGGTTTGCTTTAAATCCTACTTCTAGCCATACTACTGTCTTAGAACCATTGTCAGGTTTTTATGGCTATGCATGTCCCTATCAGGAGATTTTCCAACCTGTGTGGGAGAGGAGTTCATGTGTGATCACAGAGACAGGAAATGAAGGGAGGTTCTGGTCACAGGGACAAAGGAAACAATAACATCACTTTTACAGGGTTATCTGGGAAAGGTTAGAACCTATTTCAGGATTTTATTGTTGTAAGAGGTCCTACTGGGGAGATTTCCCTTTAGAGAAATGTGGTCACTAATGGAGACACAGACAGCAATATAAGCCAGACATAGGTTCTAACCTACGATGTCTGAAACTGAAATAAAAGCTTTGGCTGGAGATGAGGTTTAACTTTGCACATTGTCCAACATTGACTACTAAATAGCACACATTCACCTATTTTTATTGACAATTAACCTTATGGGTCTTCAAAGTATTTTCACACACCAAAAAAAAAAAAAAAAAAAAAAAAAAAATCACCCCACCCCTTTTATGCACCACTCCCAACAAAACACAACACAGTTCACGTGCCTTCTAATGTACAGTATCAGTTGAGGGGCAGGTGTGTAGCTTACTGCATCACCGCACATTAGGGGCAGCAATTTAGAAATATTTGGGAGTATCCCAAAAACAAATGCACGACAAGTATGTCCAACATGCCTGCTAACGTGTGCATAGGTGTAAAGCCAGCGTGAAAGGACTGCTCCTATTTACAAATGGACAAACTTATATGTTTTTTCATTTGGAGCAGATTTCATTAAAAAATATTTAACATGTATATCTTACACCAATAGTCCCTTCTTTTGCTGCAAGCACTAAATTTAAACAAATACAATTATATATCAGAAGCACGGCACTGATAATATATAATTTTATTGTTTGACATCTAAAAATATGCCTTCCAGCTGCAAAAAAATGAAAATATGTGCAGATAAAGAGATACATTAACACGCATCTAGCAAGGATTCTATCCTATATTTAGGAGAAAATAACTGCATTCAACAACTTACTTGTTTGTTCTTCTTCATCATCATCATCCTCCTCCTCCTCTTTGTACAGTATAGGACCCTCTGAATCACTATCACTGACACCACCATCTTCCTCATCATCCTCCTCCTCCTCCTCTTCCTGGACTGATGTAGGTATGTGGTTTGGTATTATAGTAACAGAAGGCACATCCCCAATATATACCCTGGACCCATGTGAACCTGGGACTTCTGGAGATGAATATTCCTCCTCAAAGCTCATCTCCTCCTCCTCATCATCATCGGGCCTGGAGAATGGCAAAAAACCACACCACAAAAGACACTAATATGTTATATGCCAAGTGTGAAAAGAGGCAGAGTATGCAGTGTAAAAGACAAATGAAAATCTATTGAAAAAAAAATGCTTAATGGTACTCACACTTTGAGAAGCTCTATGGTGACAGGCAGAGATCTCACTCTTGTTCTCTCTTCACCTGTCCCCACCTCATTTGGGAGGAAAAGAAGAGAGTGCGCCCTCTGGGCATTATCTATGGCAGACAAAGGCTGGGGACTGTTGAGAGCCTGTTGAATGCGTATATGAAGAGGAACCACCGGCACAGTAAGTAGAGGTTCTTCTTTTTCCTCCTCTTTGCTAGGCAGAGGAACTTCCACTGGCAGAGGATCTTCAGGTGGTGGTGGAGGCAAAGCGGGAGTTTGTGGGGGAAGTGTTGGTAATGGCAGAGATGGGGCAGGGGCTTCATGTGCAGGTGGTGGGGGTGGGATCACAATGGAAGTTGTCTTTTCTCTGTTGCTGATTACATCTGTAGTATGGGGAGGTCCTCGTTTTGCGGGAAGAGGAGGAGAGGGACGGGAGCCAGCTGGTGTTAGTGTGTTTCCTGCCAGTGCCTGGCACAGCTCCGCTAAAAGAACGTAGGGTGTATTAATAAAAGGTTACAGTCACAAAAACTGAAGGCTTTACTAACTTGCAAGGCAAAACATATTATATTGTTCCTTAGTACATGGAATACCACAAATGTGAAACTCTTAAAACATTCTAACAATAATGCATTAGTGTTCAGGAATAAGTCTGTTGCTTCTTGTAAACCCCCTTACAGTCTACATAGTCTGTGGTGATTAAATTGGGTTAGGCCTATTTACAACAGAACACACACACAGCACATCCAGAGTGTTGGCAAAGCGTTCACAGCATAAAGAGCACAAAAAACATACTTGGTAGGCAAAGAACAGAACGAGCATGAATTAGTTCACACACCATACATAGCACACGGTACAGAACATACACATCTAAAATGCAGAACAAAAACACCACACACACAAAAGTATACATAACACAACAAATACAGCACACAATATACATACAAAGCGCACACATCACTCCCAACACAGAATATATACAGTACACAAATACACACAACACAGTGTGTAAATAGCACAAGCACTGTAAGCTACAACAGGAAGTTACTTCACGTCACAGGAATCGGCACACTTTGCTAGCTGTTATAACTGCGTTATATAATCTATGGTTATACTATATAAAACAATAAAAAACGAAACATTTTAATGTAGAACAATTAAATACTATGTAAATGTCAAGCAGTACAACAGTTATAGGCTCAGAAATATAAAAGCACATTTTTAAATTCTAAACCTTATAGAAAGTCATATGTGCTTGAAATCTATGGATGTCTCATGAGAATCATCAGGGGAACAAAACAGTAATGAAGAGGAATACAGATACTTAATGTTCCTTACCCATTAGTGGGTTGCTGTTTCTGTTCTGCGGCTTAGGAGGCGGTATTGGGGGTTGTTTATGTGCTGTTGGTGGGTGTATGGTCCTAGGTGCAGGGTTGGGGGCAGAGCTTGGTAATCGTGTTACCGGGGGGTTCTGCTCCGCTTTTTGCCCCTCATTCTTATCCTGGCCAGTGGAGACGGAGGTGGACAGCGGCCTTTTAGGAGGAAGTAGAGGCTTGTTAGGGGGCTCTCGCGTGCGTTCCTGTGCAGTTTCCACCTGTGAACTGGGACGAGATCCCACAGAATCTACAATGGGAAGAAAGCAAAGCCTGAGTGTACATAACAGAAACTTGCACAAAACACAACCTAGTTCTGCAGTAATACCACAATCACTGCACTCTGAGAAACTTACCTTGCCGACTGCTCCGCTTTATACTCCTGTCTTTTTCTTGTGGCATATCTGTCCTTTGGCTCATGTGGCCATTCCTCAGAGGAGGAGGAGGAGATTCTGGTGTCACAGGGGTATCTGAAAACCATACATACGTAAACATTCATTATAGTTCTATAAAGAAAGGAATAATGATATGATCCCTATATAAATCTAAACATTATAATAAAACAATTGCTACTTGCCTTCTTCTGGTAGTTCAATTAGGACTCCTCTTTTTATTAGCTCTTCTTTGGGCTTTCTCATAGAGATCTTCCTTTCTAGAACTTAAAAACATAAGTCAATGGTATCTGTGAGAGGAAAAAAATTTAGGCTATAAAAGTTTAAGATTTTCTTTACAAATCTAAAGTTAAAGCTGGTCATACATGTCTATGTTCAGCCCGCAGGCTAAAAATATTACAGATTCCTCCATCAACACTTACGAGCGTTGATGGAGGAATCTCCCGCTGTCATTATTGCATTCTAATAGTGGCCATTGTCAGAATACCTGAACAGAGGTGGCAGCTCATTGGCTCTGCTCAGTTCGTTAGAAAGATTTTCTGACTAGCTCCTTCGATTAGTTGATTGAGGGTTGTCAGCCAAAATGGGTGCAGACAGCAGCACCCACTGTGCGAATTCTGGCCAGTTCATCAAGAAATGGCCAAAATTTGCATACGGTGTGGCCAGCTTAAGTGGGCTGAAGGAATGACATGTACAATCTTGCAACTTCTGGTCAGCAAGCAAAGAGCCTTGCAGTGCTGGCTGGAAGGACCCATGAACTTCCATCATACAAACCTCAAGACATGAGTAGTAAACAAACGAGATATACTAAGATTAGATTTCATGAGCTTGTTGTAGGTTCTTCAGTAACGCTTCACATTTGTATTGACCCCTGTAAATCACTGTAGTCTACAAAAAAAAAATCCCAATTTACTTTTAAAACTAATGATCATGTACCTAAATTACCTTCTGAAGTCTCACGAAATGTATCACTGGTCTTTCTCTTCCTCCACTTCCATGGCTTAAAGAGGTTTCCTATCCCTGCAAATTTACTCTTCCTTTTAGTAGGTGGAGTTGGAGGTGCTGGGGGCATTGTGGGAGGATCCCCCTCCTCTGCTGTAATGAGAAAAAAATATATACATTTTGTAAATGGTAAAAAGGTGATGTGTTGTCTGACAAACAGGAACAAATGAGTTGCCAACAATGTCCCCTTTTGTTAACTGGTAAACAGTGGAGTTCTGCTAGATCTTCGCTTCATCCACGCTGTATATGTGGATAAAGTAAAGAAGAAAAAAAACATATCTGCAATACGTACACATTTCCCTAGGTATTTTCTTTTTAAAGAAGAACTCCAATAAAAAAAATATGTTATGTGCTCGTTTTTGTCTAGATCAGTGGTTCTCAACCTGTGGGTCGCGACCCAAAAGTGGGTCGCGACCTACAGTTGAGGGGGTCCCCAGATGCCTTGTGTTGCTCTAGGTAAGAGGCTCCTCAGCCTCCTCCTAGCGCAGCCTTGTCAGTTCTCCTAGATGGCGCTGCAGCAGCAGTGGCCAGAGAGGATCAGAGAGAGGGGAGCAGGCAGGAGTGAGGGGAGGTGAGTGCTTGATCACCACAGAGCCCGCACAGGACGCCAACAGAGAGTCACACTAGCCACCTGAGAACCCGCATAGCCTCCCGAGAGCCCGCATAGCCTCCCGAGAGCCCACACAGATACTAGTATTGGTGCATCCCTACATTTTACGGTTGGGGGTCACCACAACTTGGCAAATGTTACCAAGGGGTCCCGGCCCTAGAAAGGTTGAGAACCACTGGTCTAGATGCAAAAAAAAAAAGTTATACTCCCCAGACCATCCCAGCCGGCTCCCTGCTTCTGTGATCACTGAAGCGCGTCTCCTCCTATGCACAGATGGACTGCTCCTCAGCATCCACATGTCTATGCACAGTGTATAGAGTGTGATGACACCAAGATCCTTAGACAGCTGAAGCAGAGGGGGTAGAGACGTTCGAGATACTGGTCCAAACACAATCCGGCTCGTATGGTCTGGTGGGTATCACTTTTTTTCTTAAAGCACCTAGACACAAACGAGCACTAATCCCTTGCAGTACTGGGGTAGCTCCACTGCAGGGGTTAATTCATATTTTTCCTGGAGTTCTTTAAAAATGCTGCAAATACAGAAAAATACCTGATAATCCTGCCACAAATCAAGCGAGTGCCTAACTTTCTGTAGTGAGCCGCAAATGCTACCTTTGCTTAACTGAAATTCAAAGCAATGTTGTCGGCCCTGTTCAGTTTTCGCCATTGGGCCATTTCTTCTGTGAACTTCATTGTTGGTTATTTCAAAGCTCTGGCTAGTGTCTGCTGCATAGTGAGAAAGTTACAGATAGGGCTATTCCGTAGGACTTTCTGGGGTTTTGGGTTAGGTTGTACACTCATATCCAGGGTCTTTGTACCTTGGGGCACTGCTATAATATGTGGAGGAGTGTCCCGCATCCCCAAAAGCATGCAGGTGGGGAGCAAGGTGCTAATTTGGCCATGTGGTCACGGGTCATGTACCAGTGGAAAAGTATCTTGTCTGCATTTTCTTCTGACAAAATATTGATTGGCCATTGATACAGCAATACAAATTTTGTCCCAATCTGGTATATCTAGGTATTCTCTCAGCGAAGATTAACGGTTACATTTAGCCCTTTTGAGGTAGATTCACTAAGTGAAACTCAGACTTAGACTTAGTCCTCAAATGGCTGAAAAGTCTAAGGGGCTATTGAATAGATTTGGTAGAGTGGTGTGAGGGGAAGAAATGTTAAGAAGAATGCTGTTGGCCAACAACATAATCTTGTGATGTATGTGTGCAATTTCTAGACCTCGGATTGACAGGTCTGAAACCAACTGCAGCAGCAAGGGGATCCAGGGCAAGTACAAAAAAGACTGGAAATAAGGTACAAGCCTGTTTTGAGGACCAAAGTTTTGAGAATAAATCAGAGCTGAAGCCTGTGTGTTTTATTGAGGAAGATGGTTGGGTGTAGAGGGCTGTAATCCAGGTTATGAAGTCGTCCCAAAACCCATTTTCTGGAGAGCGCAATGCATATATTTGCCATGACAGTGTGTCAAAGGCTTTGCATATGTCAAAACGGTGAATAAGCTGCATCACATGTTGAACAATATCTCACACCTGCCTGGACGGCACAAAATCTACGCAGTCATAGTGTATGAATTTGCCCAGAAAAATGGAGGAAATATGCTGCTCTAAAATGGTGGGGTGCTAGATGTTTCAGAAAAAAATATTTTTAATTTTCTATGGGGAGAGGACCAGGGAAGGCACAGAGTTGAGAACAATATATTTGAAGTCGGTTAATATTTTAATAGGATCCCTAGTGAGCATTTAATGTCTGGAAAGACAAGACAAGGAAGGGGAAAGTGTGTAAAGCTTGCAGTATGAGGTGATAAAGGCGGTGTTCAATAGGAGCAAGCTTCCTATGCTTTTGGGGAGCACAAGGGGAGACCTGGGCATGTAGCTAAAATCATCCAATTGTTACTAGCTAATAATAAACTGGTACATACGGGCGATAAGCTATGGGAGGGAGTGTCGGTCATGTGTGCCAGAATGCATGGTGGTGGGGCTTGAGTATGTTGGGTTTGGGAAGCCTACTGGGGTACAGGGGGTAAGCGTCATTCTATGATGTTGGTAACTAAGGCAGAAAGAGAATTGTGTACATGTGATGTCATGGAGGAAAGGTACTAAATGTACAGTGTTTTGTTTTTACAATAAATGGTGTGTACGAATGTAAATTTAGGAACAAGGTATGCACCAGTATAAGTGCTTGCAGTTGCAGGAAAACCCATCAAGTTTAAGTTGGGTGCACACAGTCAGGGGATGGCAGGGAGAGTAGCCCCCTCTCAGGAGGGGGAGCAATAGCTCCTACAGTAATGATGTGGAACACATATTAGAATGGTAGGAGTGCCGTATCTTTAAAAAAAAAAAAACATGGAACAGCAGAATGCTTTTTAAAGGTCAGGATGTGGGTGTTAACGTGTCTCCTGAGCCAAATAAAACATTATGCTCCCACTGGTTCTCCAGCCTTCAGTCCATGTTTAGAGTCAGGAGGCTTCAGGGGTGGTTTTCTTCTAGCGCTGGGTTTAAGAGTGGCGCCATATAAAAAGGAGGTAGAGAATCAGTAGCACCACTTTGGTGTCTGTGAAAAGAAGGGCTCAATTGGGTCAACCAGCTTGGGCCAAAAAGAGCAAGCTGCCAAAAGGCAAACCAAAAAAAAACAGTGCACCTGTGTAAGGAAAGTTCTCTTTTGTGTCATTGAAGGCAAGATGGGGAGAAACATCATCAATCATCTGATGGATTTAGTGTAAAAGCCTTGGGATTTTAGGCATGTCAAGGATTAGGGACGGCCATGGAGATCCCTGTGAGGCAAGGGTCTTCTGCAATGACCGGGTCCTGTTGCAGCGAGCTTCTCCCAGTGACTTCGAGGAGTTTAAGCTCTTATAAGGCCATATGTTCTTAGGGGTCTGAAGCTGGAATGCTTTGTTGTAGTGCGAGAACTGGAGTTTAAAGAGATATCCCCAACTGTACTTGATGTCTGCAGATCACAGGATTAGAAGTATGGCCCAACGCTTGTTGTTTTAGGACTATCGATAAAGCCAGGTCAGCCTACAAGCTGTAAGCATGGGCCTGGAATGTTAGGTCAGGCAGGTTCCTCAGGTCAAATAAGGGATCAGTAAATGGTGGACCGTAGTCCGGACATAGACTGAGTGGCATCCACTGCCCGCCATAACCCAGCACAGGTTCCCCCTACTCTACAGCCATTGGTTGCTAGGACTGCTGGCATGAACCAGTGACACACTTGCCCTGTCCCCAGCATTAACTACAGCCTGCTCTGCTTGCAGGTATGAGGGGACAATAATGTAAAGGGACACTCTAAAGCGGACAACAAATTATTTGTTGTGTACATTGGCCCCCATACATTGGTTACTAATGTAAGGGAGAACTTTGATGGGGACAATGGAAAGTGGCACTCCGATGGGGAGAACTAATGATTAGCTGTGCCCATCAGAGTGTGCCCTTACATTAATTGTCTCCATCAGAGTGTCCTCGTATGTTAGTTGCTCCTATAAGAGTGCCCCCCATTAATTATGAAAGGAAGGGGCACACGGATAGGGAGATCTAATGAAAGGGTGTACTCTTATGGGGACAGCCAAATTTAAAGAGGCACTTTGATGGGAACAATTAAGGTACAGGGCATTCTGATGGCGACCCCAAAATGTAGGTGGGCATTCTGATAAGGACAACTAATGTAAGGGGGAACCATGATGGTGACAACTAATCTAGGGGGTGCTATGATGAGGAACACTAATGTAAGGGGGAACTCTGATGTGGACAACAACTGTAAGTGGACACTATGATGATGACGACAACTAGTCTAAGGGGTGCTGTGATGGAGAACACTAATGGAAGGGGGCATTGAGGGAACATGAGATCTGGACCTTTGCGCAAAGATTATTTCGCTCTCTGGACCTTCATGGATTTTAATTCAGTACCCCTGCTCCAAACCTACAAGCAGCTGAACAATAGATATGAGTTTCACAAAACCGTTTGCAACAAAATAAAGTTTTGCTTCAGTATTCCAGGGCTGAAAATATCCCTGCATTTCCTATCTGGGCGAGTCAGCTGGAAACTGATAGCTGTGTATAGGTTCCCAGGGGAGCCAAATAATTACTCTATAGAAAAATACACCAGCTGAATACCTGGCAATTGTCACATATATCTTGGGAAAGGCCTGCTGGCTGACAGGAAATGGAAGGCGTTGTTGGTGCAGTAGCAGGCTTAAGTTTTAGTGGACAGGAGGATTTATCCAAGGATAAGAATGTTGGCATGTATGCACATGGCTTCACGTGTGGGACAAACGATGGATAAAAACAACACGTTTTACTGGCGAAGCCATTGGGGAAGCAGATGCACACAAGCTGCCGGGGAAAGTCCAAATTAGCAGAGGATTTCAGTGATCAGTTAGCCTTGAATAGGTGAGGTGTAGCAAAAACCTGCTCATATGAAATAGCAATAGCTAAAAGATCGTATGGTGTATGCCTCAGTAGTAACATAGTGACCCAT